CAGAATTCCCCAGCCAGCAACTTCTGGGAGTTGAAGTCCACACATCTTAAAGTTGCCAAGCTTGAGGAACACTGCATGTAGTTCAGCATTATCCACCTGGAAGGGCAGCAAAGACCATCCAGAACTGCTGGCAAGGACCGTCCCCTGCCTGCCCCCCTCCCCAAATGCTCAGTCCTGGAGGTTTTGTGCCCAACTACCCCCCGCCCCAATCTTGCCATCTCCTAGCTGGTACGTTATGAGGTCAAATTCCTCCTCGCTGATCTATTTTCTTGCGCTTTGGCGGCCTTAGCTTTTTGCAACGGGAGCGTGAAATGCTATTTTCCATCTTTTTTTTAACGCCCTCTTTAATTTGATTATTTCAGGGACGATGAACCGGTTCGCTACGCAAATCTCATGTACGAGCGGAGAGTGGTTCGCGGCAACACCTATGCCCTTCATGTGTTACCTTGGGTGGGTTCTTCTTCCATAAATCTTTTCTGTTTCTCCGGCGGTGGGTTTTGAAACAGGCGTGCTAAGAATATACTTATCCTGCGCAAGAAAAAGTGTCGGGAAGGGGCCAGAACGATCCGGTGGAACCAATGGCCATAAATTGTGCTGGGCCTGAAATGTGCCTTGTCCTTTGGAAGTTCAGGATGCTGGACTAGGTGATCTGCGCATGATTGCTCTTGCATTCACCTGCCAAAGGGTTACGCATCAACTGGCCGATTTCACCCATGGCCAACTGGCCGCCCACCCACCGTGTTAGGATTTTAACATCCAGCGTTTCCAGCCAATGCTGTGTGATGGTGAAAAGTAGCCCCCCCCCCATATACATGGCGGCTGCATTCAGTACCAGACCTATGAGATGCCTCCCCACAAGGGAGCTGCTGAAAGCGCCCGTGTAATAAAACCTTCACGGCCAGTTGAGTTGACCTGAGTGGCAAGAGGGGAGGAATCAGACAAGGACTATTGGCCTGGTAAACCAAATGGTCCACATTCACTGGAAAGACAGTACTGTCTTTGCAGCAGGCTGACCTAGTGGGAAGGGAGAAATAATAAGAAGGTCACGCGGATGGGTTTATCAAAAACCTTCCAACGTCACACTGAAATTCCCGTAATGTCTGTCTTTTTCCTTTGTTTTGTCTTTGCAATGTAGTAGGCCAAAGTATACACCGGTGTTTCTCAACCTTGGGAACTTTAAGAGGTGTGGACTTCAGCTCCCAGAATTCCCCAGCCAGCTGTGC